GTAACAAGGGGAACTTGTGGGTGGGAATGTAGAACAAACAATAGCCAAGAGTTAATATAGTTGAAACTAGATAATGTTACATGGAGATTAATGATACCATTTACTCTAAATTTACATATGCTTACAATTTTCCATAAGATAATGTTTAAAAAACAGAAATAGTAGATAGATAATTGAGTTGGACAAGAATAAACATTCATTCTTACTAAGCAAAGAAATTCAAATAAAAATAACTGTGAAGATTTCTTTTATACTTAAAATGAGAATAAACAGTTAACATATAATGTATCAACAACTGGTCTCATCCTGGCCAGTGTGGCTCAGTTGGTTGGAGCATCATCCCATAAACTAAGTCATGGGTTCAATTCTTGGTCAAGGCACCTTCCTAAGTTGCAGGTTTGATACTCAGTCAGGACGTGTACAAGAGGTAATCAATCAATGTCTCTTTCTCACACTGATGTTTTTGTCCCTCTCTTCCCCTCTCTCTAAAATCAATAAGCATGTCCTGAAGTGAGGATAAAAAAAGTTTGTCTCAGGTTTCAGCCTGATGTACTATTTGGCCTCAGGTTCAATTTCAGCCTTTGAAAAACTAGATTACTCAATGTTCACATCAGTGTGTCATCTGGCATTCTAGAACTTGTACATGATCATTGACACAGGGATTATGTAGGTGACTATCACATCCACTCAGTAAAAAATACCAGCAATACAAATCAGGCAAACTTTTTGAATTTATTGCTAATTAACAAATTTTTGTTAATATTAAAAATATAGTTAAGTATTCTAGACATAACTCGTTGTATTTGAAGCAAAAATTTCAGAGGCAAAGGCCTCCTTTCAAGAGCAGATACTGAATCCTATCAAGTCACAGCTTTACACACATAAGCCCATCAATTAAGGCTAAACTCTAATACCTCAGTTGTCCTATCTTTCCCTCTTAGTTTCTGGGTTGTTATTGTTCAAGTACAATTTTCTGCCCTTTGCCCTACCCCTCCCCACCATCCCACTCCACCCCACCTTGTTCCCCTATTTCCACCTGCCTTGTTATTGTCCATGTGTCCTTTATAATTGTTCCTGTAAACCCTTCACTCTTTTCCCCCATTATTCCCTCCCCTCTACCCTCTGGCCACTGTCAGCCTATTCTCAATTTCAATGTCTGTGGTTATATTTTGTTTGCTTGTTCATTTTGTTGATTAGGTTCCTGTTAAAGGTGAGACCATATGGTATTTGTCTTTCACCGCCTGGCTTATTTCACTTATCATAATGCTCTCCAGTTCCATCCCTGCTGTCCCAAAGGGTAGGAGCTCCTTCCTTTTTTCTGCTGTGTAGAATTCTATTGTGTAAATATACCATAGATTTTGATCCACTCATTTACTGATGGGCACTTAGGTTGCTTCCAGCACTTGGCCATTGTAAATTGTGCTGCTATGAACATTGGGATGCATAGATTCTTTTGGATTGGTGTTTCAAGGATCTTAGGATATAATACAAGCAGTGGAATGATGGGTCAAAAAGCAGTTCCATTTTTAGTTTTCTGAGGAAATTCCATACTGATTTCCATAGTGGTTCAGTCAGTGTACAATCCCACCAACAGTCCACTACAGTTTCCTTTTCTCCACAACCTGTCCAACACTTGTGTTTGTAGCTTTGTTTATGATGGCCATTCTGACTAGTGTGAAGTGGTATCTCATTGTGGTTTTAATTTGCATCTCTCTGATGCTAGCGATGCTGAGCATTTTTTCATATGTCTCTGAACCCTCTGTATGTCCTCCTTGGAGAAGTGTCTGTTCAAGACCTTTGCCCATTTTTTAACTGGGTTGCCTGTCTTCTTAGAGTAGAGTTGTGTGAGTTCTTTATATATTTTTGAGATCAAACCCCTGTCTGAGGTATCACTGGCAAATATGTTTTCCCATACAATTGGTTCTCTTCTCATTTTAATGCTGTTTTCTTTAGCTGGGCAGAAGCTTTTTATTTTGATGACATCTCCTTTGTTTATTCTTTCCTTTATGTCCCATTCTCTAGGGCCCATATCACTGAAAATATTGCTCTATGAAATATTTGTGATTTTCCTGCCTATGTTATCTAGATATAACTTAAAGCAAAAATGTACTTATGTGCTTTAAATGTTAACGTTTGATCATTCAGTTTTAAGTACATTTACATTTAATATTACCGAAGTGCTATAGCAATTAACAATAATTTTAAAGTTATTAGTTTCATATGCAGAAATATGAGCACATTTAATTAGTAAAATAAGGAAATGGATTGATAATTAATTCAAATATTAAGAGAGAATATATTATTATGTTACTTTTGGAAGAAAAAATATTATTCTTAAGCAAATATATATTTTATAAAAATTCAAATAATATGAGAATAACAGAGATGATATTATGTTCATGATTCTAATTTGTGTCAACAATTTGGTATATTAGCATTCAAAACATTAAACGAAATAAACTTTAATTTCCAGTTCTCTAATTTTATTTAAACCCTGAGTGTTTCCAAAAATAAAGTTGTAATTGGGAATTGTTCATGTCTTACAAGAGTGAATTAAAAGCAAAATGTCAACTTGCTATCTCTAAATTAAGCAAGAAGGGAAGACTCCACAAAGCATATAGAACATTCCCAATACATCTTCCTTAATCCAGATATAATAAAAAATGAAAACTGTATAAAGAAAAGAAGAAAGTGTTTGAAAATGATGAGAGAAGTAATCTAGCAGCTGACAATGATGAGACATTATTGTCCCTACACGTAAGGTCAAACTTTATAGTACTCATTAACTATTAAAACTTTTAAATATACATATATCTTAAACTTTTAAATATTCTTATTCTTTGATACTTATTCTGTTATCAAAGAGAAATTCACTTTGTAAAAATACCAATTTTAACACTCAACCATTCCACATTCAGCCAAAATGGTAGTATTTTGGGTACATGGTGGATGGATGGATGGACAGATAAAAAGAGAGACAAAAGAAACACGTGGATAACAGGATAATATTAGGAATATGTTTTACATGTGATATATGAATATATATGTACATGTTCCAATATTGACAAGGGTATACAGAAAAATGTTTGTGGAGGCATCTTTATTAGAACAATACTTTAAGAAAGAGCTAAAAGACATTCATACTTTTTTGCTCAAAGATTCCAATCATGGGAATTTATCCTATGGGGGTAGATTCTAAAGCATGAAAGGTGTCCATGCATGAAGACGTTTACTGTAGTATAATTTCCTATATAAAATTGGTTATAATCCAAATATCCCCAAATTGAGATGTGATAAGGCAGCTGTCCCCAACCTCTTTGCACCAGGGATGGGTTTCCTGGAAGACAATTTTTCCATGGACTGGGGTGGGGGATGGTTTAGGGATGATTCATCTGAATTACATTCAAGCTCACTTCCTACTGTGTGTCTGGGTTCCTAACAGGCCCACAGGTTGGGGATTGCTGTGGTAAAGCATGTATCTTTTTCTGTTTGGAGTACTATTCAATCCTGTTTTTGCTCAATTCAGTTTTATTGGCTGGGAGATCCCAATTCCTATGTCCCTCCCTCAGAAAAGCCTTCTTACCCAATTGGAATCAAGTCTTGTTATTATACACCAGATAGCATGTGTTTATTGGAGTATATACTTAAAGCATTTTTATTTTGAGGCTTATTTGAGAAATGCTGACTTCCCTCCTCCTCTTTTCTGCAAACAGTATATTCCATGATGGTAGGAGATATATATTGTTCCTCACTGTATCTTTGAGGCACATGATAAATATTTATTTACTTAAGTAGGGTCAAGGGTGGAAAGTAGGATGGCTGGAGTGGGGGGGAATGGAGATAACTGTACTTGAACAACAATAAAAAAAGTGAAAAAATATATCTACTTAAGAAATTAAATATCATATAAGAATTAAATATTTTCAAGATTATATGGTAAAATGTTATGGGAAATCTATATAGGATTTATGTCTATGTTTACCATGGAAAAAATTAAATATGTATGTATATGTTTATATATATGTATGTGTGTATATTATATACATACAATGGGTCAGAATAAAAGTAAGAAATATGAAAATAGTTTTATTAGGATGATAGTTATACAAGTAATTTTCTCAAAATTTCTTTGAATGTCATGATAACATTAAATTATCTTAAAGTTATATCAGAATCAAACAAATAATGCCCTACTTTTTAAGTGGTCTTCTTGGTTAGAAGGAATATAGCTCATGGATATATTGGTAGTGTCTCTAGAATAGGGTATCAATAGTACTTTGGATTTATAACAGCTGCCGTTTTAAAAAAGATCTTAACAATAAAAAGCCATGCAATACTAATGTAACACAAAAATATTAAATACAAATGAAGACTTGTAAACTACTTAATATGTTGCTTTGCCAAACCAGATTTTTAATGCAACCAAGCAATTTTTAATGTAATGCTATTTATAACATACTCTATTATTTTACACAAGAGGAAAACATATTGCATGGTAATCCTAAACCGTACATGGTCCTAAAATGCACAATCAGTTGCACATAAACTCCTTTCAAACCTAGTTTAGATTCACCTTTTCCTAAATCATGGCAACAACAACAAAAAAGGGAATTCTAGAAAAGTGGCACCTGAGGGCATATTTGAATGGTGTCACAGAAGGGACATTAAATCAGATGATAATTCACAGCTAGCATTTACTCACAATTTTTACTTTTCAGATTAAGTGAGAAATTGTTGAAAGCTAATTAAGTATCAATCTTTCTAAAAATAAAGTTGAATCCAGATCTCTTAGGTTGTTATGAACATTAAGTAATGAATGTAAACTGCACAACACTCTGAAAGCATTCAATAAATGTTAGCTGCTACTCATTATTATTAATAGTTAGAAGACTCAAAAAACTATTTAGAATGTTATTTATTTTCACATTTACATTTAAATATTTTAGTTGCTAGCATTTCAATTTTATAAACCTAGAAAACACACACACACAATTTCTAACCTTGAGCTCTGTAGAGGCAGCAGCTAATTTTTTTTCTTCAGTTAATGCATGCATTTGCTGATAGTCTACTGGTTTATACTTAATGCTTCTCATTCCACTTTTCAGATGAAATACCAGATTATCTGTTTTTCATCAAAAACAGAAAATGAGAGAAATAATACCATGTTACTGGGAGTCAAAATATAGTTAGAGCAATATGCTGACTACAGGTCTTATTTTTAAATATTTTAAGGTAAATATAAGAAGTAATATATTACAATATTCACAGTATATTAGACCTGTATCTCTAGAAACTTAAATTATATTGCCACTATATTACTTGCATAAACTTATTACTAAAAGAGCATGAAAGAATACTTTTTTTCCAAATATTTTATTTATTTATCTTTAGAGGGGAAGGGAAGGAGAGAGAGAGAGAAATATCAATGTATGGTTGCCTCTCATGTGTCCCCTGCTGGGAACTGGCCTACAACCCAGGCATGTACCCTGACTGGGAATTGAACTGCGATACTCTGGTTCGCAGGCCCACACTCAGTCCACTGAGCTACGCCAGCCAGGGAAGAATACTTTTATTTAAGCTAGTATATTAAGAATTTTTTAAAATTCTCAATATAATGTCAAAATACAAAGTGTGACCATTTCTGTAATTGAAGAAATGTTAGGCAGCAACTGTACATATTTAAGTATCACATTATAATGAAATTAAGTAAATAAATTTTGTTAAGTCATAGCTGTATTTCTCAGAAAAACTGAAAAAATTTTCAATTAAATTTGAGAAAAGGTTGAAACTGAAAGCCAAAAAGTTCAGTGGGCCAAATAAGACTAAAATGATATAAAGTGTTTGGGTAGGCATTCTCCACACAAATACTTAATTTAGTGTATTAGATATTTTGATAAATGAAAGCAAAAGCAGAGGGCACTTTAAGGTCAAGTAACATAAAGAATAATAACCTGATTACTTCAAGCAAAAACTGTACTTTGCTTCAATTAGATAAATAATGTGCCATGTAGAGTAAAAATATTTATTATGTATATCATGCATCACATGACTATAAGAAGGCTGTAAGTGATTTAGGACAACTACAGTGGCGGAAAGCATGGTTGTCCTAACCACTGTCGAAGACGAGTAAAATGCCCATTGCATGAAAACTGAAGAAACCTCCATGTGATCCCCCACAATGAGCTATCCATGATTAAAATTTTGGAAAATCAACATTCCAATTTTATATCATGCATAATCCACCATAAATCATAAAACAGACTTGGAAATAGACAAAAAATACCTGAGCTATTGTTTTCCTGCATTGTCATGAATGGTCAGTCTCTTTTATTCATGTTTTCCATATCTGTCAGAGAAACAAGAGACAGGTAAATTTTACAATCTGATTCTTAAAACATTTTGAAAGATGTGTTAATCGTCGTATTTTTTAACATAAGGCCCAGGACTGGGTGCTGTAACTCTTGGTATTTTATTAACATTTGCTTCTCCTTGCTTCTAGGAGCTTCCTTCCATTAGTCTTTCTCCCTGTTTCTTTCCTGTTTTTTGATCTCTCCTTCCAATTTCTAGCCTCTTAATTCCCCTTCCTTGGATTGTGACCGATAAATATTTTGTGATTAAAACTTATGTATGTTTTCCTTTGAGTTCCTAGGAGGAAAGAAACCACAGAAGGAATAAAGTAACTAGCCAAATTACTCACTATTTCTATTAAGCAGTATTGCACTTGTGGTGGACCTGGGAATATGCCATCCACTTCTAAAAAAGCACCCAACACCCCACTGTCACCTCCTCCATGGCTGAACTCAGCTGCAGAGAGTCCAAAGGCATACCACTGCTGGGCAGCCCAAACCCAATGACTAAGCAAGGCAGGGATATAAAGACCCAGTAGTTTGGACCCAATGTGGGCCACTCTGAGGGGCAATACGTGTTCTAAACTTCCCTGTAGGGCTGGCCCACACTTTGTTGAACTTGCAGTGAAATGGAAATTTTTATCTGTCTGATCCTACTTCTTCCTTCTTCCTTTCGCAGGTATGGATTCCTGGATAAACATCTAGTACTCCAAATTCGCCTCAGCATCTTCTTCCTGAGGACCTACTGAACTGAACCGAACACTCCCAGGCATCAGACTAGTCAACTGAATCCTTAAGTAACACTACCTATTTTTCACAAATTTTTGTTCCATATCCACTAGGTTGAACTACCATGTCCGGTGGCCTTCTCAGTAACCTAAACCTTCTAAAATGGAAGGAAAAGTGGCACAAGTCCATTACTTCTGGAAACTCTACCAGGTTAACCAAGAACCATGATGATTACTTACCAACTTTAGGAATATAGGGATAATCTCCAGTGTGTAATTTCTAAAGGGTCTCTACTCAAGGGATTCTTTTACCAAATCTTTAATAACATTGACAATTCTCCCTACAGTCTTGTTTCTACTCATACCCACATTCTATCTATTGAGATTCTTCTTCCTTTTGGAAGGTATTACACATCTGCTCTGTCCACCTACACTGCCTCCTGCCACCATCACCTCCAGCCCAGGCAGCAGCAGCAGCAGTTTCACTTTGCACCCTAACTGTTAATGCCCCACACAGCAACCAAAGTAACCTCTGAAAATTCTATTTAAATTCCTTCAGTGGTTTCCTATTACCCTTTAGTACAGTATCCAAACTTTTTTTGAAAAAATATTTTCTTTATTTATTTTTCGAGAGAGGGGAAGGGAAGGAGAAAGAGTGGGAGAGAAACATCAATGTGTGGTTGCCTTTCATGCGTCCCCTGCCGGGAACTGGCCTGCAACCCAGGCATGTGCCCTGACTGGGAATCGAACCGCGATACTCTGGTTTGCAGGCATGCGCTCAATCCACTGAGCTACGCCAGCCAGGGCCAGTATCCAAACTTTTAAAATGGCCTATGAAGCCCTTCCTGACTTGCCCTCAGTCATCTCTCCATCCTCATTTTATTCACACATTTCAATCACCCTGGCCTTTCTTTCTCAAATGTACAAAGCTCATTCTGCCTTAAGGCCTTCCCATTTGCTGTACCCTTTGTCTTAAAAGACATTTTCTTCCTCTTTTTACATGGCTGTTTCCTGCTCAGCCTTCAGTGTGACCAACATGTCATAGCCTCAGAGAGACCTACAGAGACTTCGCCCTTTAAATAAGGAAGAATCCCTATTTCTCTCTAATCCTATTCTTTCCTTTCCATAACAATTTGCATTAGTCTTCATATTTGCATGTTTACTGCTTTGATATCCCCCTCCATAGACATGTGGCCCATGTTTGTCTTATTTCTGATTATATCCCTAGTGTCTACCACACAATAGTAAATGCTCAATAAATATCATTTGAGGAAAAGTAGCTGGTGGTAGCTGGATGTCTTCTAGTCCCTCAGGAGATCTGTGATAACAATTCCTAAGTCCATACTATAGTCTCCCTCTACGAATACCAACTTTTCAATTTTTAAAAATCTGCTTTGATTGCATAACCTACAGACAGGAATGGCAAAACCAAGTTTAAAAACAACAAAGTTTTAGCAACAAAAACACAGCCAACAACTATATGGAAGTCTGACAACAACGAACCTTTCAACCAGACCGGTAAGAGGCACAGGGCCAGCCGCAGAGCAGGATCAGACAGAAAAGATCCCCCAACCCAGGGGCGCAGGCAGCTGTGGGCAGATCCCAGGTGTGGGGTAGCAACGGGTGGACCCAGAGAAGGCACAAGGTGGCAGGCTGACTGCGGTCACACATTCACGCACAGATAAATGAGCAAAGGAGCGAGCAGTAAGACAGACTGCACAGGCCCGAGCGGTGGGAAGCAGCAGAGGGGACCGCCATTGCTCCTCTTTGACCCTGCCCCCACATACAGCGTCACAACCCAGCCACCTGGGTGGTCCTGCACTGGTGAACACCTAAGGCTCCCCTCCTCATACTTAACAGGCGTGAACAAACCAAAACATGGCTCAAGAAGAACTCAAAGCCCCAGAACCGATAACTCTAAGGGACCAAGAAATTGCCAGCCTATCAGATGCACAGTTCAAAACACTGGTGATCAGGATGCTCACAGAACTGGTTGATTTTAGTCACAAATTAGAAGAACATATGAAGGCTAAACTAATTAAAATGAATGGTAATGCACAGGAAACCAATAGTGATGGAAAGGAAACTGGGACTCAAATCAAGGGAGCAGACCAGAAGGAAGGAAAAAATGACCAAACAGAAAAATATGAAGAAACAAGAATTCAAAAAAATGAGGAGAGGCTTAGGAAACCCCAGGACATCTTTAATTTTAGGGGTACCAGAATTACAGGGGTACCAGAAGGGAAAGAAAAAGAGCCATGAGTGGAAAACTTATTTGAACAAATAATAAACAAAAACTTCCCCATTCTGGCAAAGGCAATAGACTTTCAGGAAGTCCAGGAAGCTCAGAGAGTCCCAAAGAAGTTGGACCCAAGAAGGAACACACCAAGGCACATCATCATTACATTAGCCAAGATTAAAATGAAGGAGAGAATCCTAGAAGCAGCAAGAGATAAGGGGACAGTCACCTACAAAGGACTTCCCATCAGACCATCAGTGGATTTCTCAAAAGAGACCTTACAGGCAAGAAGGGGCTGGAAAGAAGTATTCCAAGTCATGAAATCCAAAGACCTACAACCAAGATTGCTCTATCCAGCAAAGCTTTCATTTAGAATGGAAAGACAGATAAAGTGCTTCTCAGATAAAGTCAAGTTCAAAGAGTTCATCACCACCAAGCCTTTATTACATGAAATGTTAAAGGGACTTATCTAAGAAAAAGAAGATTAAAAAGATGAACAGTGAAAGGACAGCAAACTCACAGTTATTAACAACCACACCTAAAACAAAAGCAAACTAAGAGGACAGCTAGATCAAGAGCAAAACCATAGAAATGAAGATCACATGGAGGGTTAGCAACAGAGGAGTGGGAGAAGGAGAAGAGGGGAGAAGGTACAGAAAATAAGTAGCATAGATGGTAGGTAGAAAATACATAGGGGGAGGGCAAGAATAGTATGGGAAGTATAGAATCTAAAGAACTTGAGACACATGGTCATAAACTAAAGGGGGGGAGTGGTGGGGGAGGGGTGTGCAGAGTGGAGGAAAATGAAAAAGGGGAATAGGACAACTGTAATGGCACAATCAATAACATTTAAAAAAATAGTTATTAAAATAAATAAATAAATAAATAAATAAATAAATAAATGAATGCCTCCAGAGACCAGGTAAGTTAAAAGCAGAAAGGGACAAGGTACACAGCCGTAGGGAATAGCAGAAAACATGGAAAATGAAACAGCATTTCATACCTAACCGTAATCAAATACATTAAAAAAAAATAAAGGTAATAAACAAATAAAGCAAGTCTCTCAAACAAATTTACAGTGCACCCAGCAGCCAGCTTGGTGAGGTCTGGCCTACTGCATCTCACCTCTAGTTTTCATTTCAGTCTCCCACCCATAACTTAACCATCCAAGTCTATCATCTTCATCCAGGAGAGACCTCATCAGTTCTCTAACTGATAAGTCTTAGTCTTTCCTCATTGGGTAGATTAGCCCCTTTAGATTTGTCTTGTTTACTTGGGATTTAGGTTGCAAGATTGAGGCCCAAACAAAATAACATTTTGCAGACTCCCTTTTGGTTACTCTAGGTCTAATCCTATTTATTTTCTTCCTCCTGGCTTTCAGAGGAAAATTAATAAGCCCACATAATGTTTCTCACCATTTTTACATAGTTCAAATTTTAATTATGACCATAGAACCTTATGAGATAGGGTAGATGACAAAACAGCTTCAATAAAAGCTACAGGAACTACCAGAAAGTAGGACAATCCCCTCATTGGATTTATGGCTTCAAAGCAGCACAGAGCAGCACTGCCCAACACGGTGACTAATTTCACTTAACAATTACCCCTAACCTCATTATACATGTGTTGTAAGGCATTAGCATGCTAAACAACACATCCCATGCCATTCTGATCATCCCATGATGATCAGAAACACAAAGTTGGAATAAAAACACAAAATGTCCCACCAACCTCCTCTGAGAAGTCTCCACCCCTTTCCTGGGAAGATACTCGGCCCAGCCCCCAATTAAATGAAACTCAATAAAGAAAACAAATTCTGCTAAAGGGGGGCTGCCCTGTCTGTGGAATAGCCCATTTTCTGTCTCACTGCTTCACTAATAACTCACTTTCTTGTTAAACTCAATGATGGCTCAGGTTTGAATTCTTTTCTGTGCAAAGCCAAGAACCCATGGTGGGTTATGGAGCCTTGGGTCCCCAAACCCCCAGAATGCCTTCATCACTTACACTAGAACATATTCTGGTGTATCAAAAT